GGTATTTGTGGCGTGATTTTATATTTATTACACAGGTTTCTTGAGACATTATTCTAAACTCTCTTTTTTTTCCAAAAACATTTGTATGTTTTTCAATTTCAAGATGAAAAACATAAACAACTCGACATTTTGTTGGCACGATGCACTAAAGTTTAATAAAAATTTGTAAGTTAATGAAATGGAAATATAATTACAAAAAACTTGTCTTTAATACAAATTTCTGCCATTGCATTTTGAATTTTTTTTATCGTGATTACAAAAAAAAATATAAACATTCAGATTTCTTCTGGAACCTTAAATTATATATTTGGATGCTTAGAATACAAATACCCCCCCCCCAAAAAAAAAAACAACAACTAATTTCTAGTATATATCGTACAGAAATCTTATCATCGTAACACATGGCCTACAGTGATTTAAAAACTATCAGAACACAGATCTAATTAAATCCTGTAATGGTAAAACAAAGAGCAAATGAAAAATACACTAAACTGTTATGAAATTTAGAACTGAATGCATTCATACATACAGCTTTACATAGACCATTAACTTACTTCTTTTGCTATAAAAGAAATATTCTCATAAGTCATGCTTATGATTTTTTGAAGAGGTTTCTGATATATTCGTTATCAAAGCTAGCAGAAAGTTAAACGTTGATTAAGTCGAATAAACTGGAAATATATATATATATTAAAAGCCATACTTATCAGTGCTACTTGTACCCAAATAATGGAATGCCGTAAACATCCATAGCTGCGGGTGGCGGTTTCGAATACCTGTCACCGAACATGCTCGCCCTTTCAACCGTGGGGGCGTTATAAAGTGACATTCAATCCCACTATTGGTTGGTAAAAGAGTAGCCCAAGAGTTGGCAGTGGCTGGTGTTGACTAGCTATCTTCTCTCTAGTCTATCGCTGCTAAATTAAGGACAGCTAGCGCAAATAGCCCTGGAGTAGCTTTGCACGAAATTCACAACAACGCAAGCCATAGCTAGTTAGGATATCACGTTATGTTATGCGATATATTATATTCCACAGCTAGGTGAGATATCGTATACTTTGTGATGTATTATACCATATGTTTATCTGGAGGCGAATATGTAGACACATCTTGTAATAGAACACACTAATTATTGTAAAGAAGCACGAAATTCTCCTTTGTAACTAACTTGAAATATACACTTTATTAGCAAACGTATTATTGGGCAGACAGTTCTGCCCTTTAACAAATCAGCCCAAGAAACAATACCAAAGGGGCGAGGGAATTTTAGAACCGTAATACAGATGTTAATTGAATTTACTCATTAACATTAAAGATTATTTATACATGGAAGGAGTTGACCAGCAGGATAAATATTCCTTATAGCGTGCTTCTGTTGCTATAATTAGGTTATTATATCTACATAAAATGTAAGTTTACAGAAATGTTTTCGTTTTGTTTGATATACGGGTTTTGAGAAAAAAATACTGTGATAACAACGGTTACCTCCTTTAGTGTAAATCTCAAGCTTCTGTGTTGTACTGCTTTTGTTTTTCGATTTTGGTTTTGTGTAATGTTTAGTAGTGGCCTGCAAATTTATATTAAATGTGTTTGTGTACTTTTTTCACTTGTATCGTGTGTAAAAGTAACCTTGTTTTCTACGTATAGTATGTATTGTTTCCGCTTTAAATGTTTAGTTATCAGTCATAGGATCTTGTCTAGTTTTTAACAGTTAATTTTCTGTTGTTGTTTTTTATAATTATCTCTCATAGTATGGTAGCAAAGTGATCACCGGAGTCTATTTATTATATATGTGTTTGAAGCAGTTTATGTTATCGCATCACCAAAACCACTTTTACTATAACATGCATGCGGACTTGGACTCTGTTTTACTAAAAAAAACAATTGTAATAAAAGAATAAGTAATACCTACTCAGTGAATTATGCTAATTATTACGAAAACAATCTATTTGGAACGCTGCCATCTCGTATAGACTTGTCGATAAAATTTCCAGATCTATTCCACTTTTATTAGCTTGTCAGGGTACAAGGACACTGGTTTCCATGAGTTGAGCACGTGGTTGTAGCATGTATTTAGCTAATTGCAGTACACAGACTTTACCAGTCTATTAACTAATTGCAGATATCTACCAGTTGCACAGTAGGTAGGTCTTATAATCCTATACATTTAAAATTGTAGAGGTTTAGCACGGGGGTGTGACGTGCCAATTTAAACTTTTTACAAGGGAAGGGCTTTGAAGTTTTACATGAGTCAGCTTTCTGTTGAGTTCGTTTTTTATCCAAAGGTCAAAGTTTGAAGAGACTAAGGTTCTTTGTCTGTGGCAAAAATTGTGTGTTGGCGATGGATGTATTTTATCTCGCTGTTCTCAGATTTCAGTGTGAATCAGAGGCCAGAATATGCAGGTGTTAGACAGTCTCCAGGTGCTTGAATGTCACCTTCAGGATTGCTGTATCAGAATAACTGTCTCCTTTAGCTTAATTTACTTGATCTGGCTACAGGAATTTAAAGCGGCTTTATCCTTATTGTAGTTTTGCATTGTATGCAAATAGAATATATATTAAAACAGGTGTGAGCTCTTCAGAATAAAAATTCAATAAAGGTTATCTTTTCGTAGTTAAGAAATATTTTTAAAATGCTTAATTCTTTATTTTGGAATTAGTTTGCCACAGATGGACACAACAAAAGACACTGTTAACGTTTACTTCCAATAGTTTCAAATGCACAATAAATCAAGAAAACTTGCAATAATTACCCAAAGAGTTATCACTAAGTTTATTTTGCAATGTTTTCAGAAACTATATGCTTTTAAATTGTATTAGAAAGAACACAAGTTTAAAAATGTGAGATGATTTGTTAATCAAAATCTGTAATTGGAAGTCAGTTTAATATTAGGAAAAGATGTGAGAAAAATGCACAGTCTTGTTTCATTCATTTCCCTTTATGTGGTTTTGTTAACTTATATAAAATCATCAGACAGTTGACAAGTAAGATCCTCAGTAAGGGCCCACTTGATGGTGAAATGGCTAATTGAGTACTTTACAGAACAAGAAATTACAGTTAGTAGTAAATATAAATGAGTTGTGGTAGGTATGGTATAGCTTTTCCTTTTTTGTTGTTATATTTCACATAATATTTAAGTGAGATTCCTTTACATAATTTATTGCTGAAAGGAGATTAGCACTTCATCCAGGTCATTAACACAAACCTGTTCTTAAATGTTCCTGTGGGTGTGAATGTGCTGATATAGATCATTCATCTGGGAAGTTACTGATGGCTTTAGACAAACTAGAATAAAGCATTTTGGATCCTTTGGTAGCTATAATGCATTAGTTACCTCCATAATGTTAACAATCAGTTATTAGTGTGAATTTTACATAGCTTGAATGTTAGAAGTGTAAGCTATGAAAATATATTTATTACCATCCTAACATTTATCACTATCATATACAAAACTTGGTTAATATTGTACAAAAACAATTGAAATTTCATTATACCTTATTCTTTGGGATGCTCATTTTTACATTTTACTTATGATAGAGTTAATTCTTAAATGTGTACCAGAATTCAGTAATTATAATGTCAGTTAATTATCATTCGTTGACATTTAATTGAAACATATTGTATCTGGTTCTAATTTTAGCAAGCTTAGGCTTTAAGTATAGGAAAAAGGAAAATAGAAAATGCTGGAATTGTTTTTGTGAAAAAAATCATGTTTTACCTGTCGTGCCCAATTGATTATATACACACAGATATATATATTTTTTTTAAAATATAAGTTTTGTTACTAGGATATTTTAGGCATTAGTTGATGTTTTTGTAGAATGGATTAATTTTTAATTATAAAAAAATATTTTAAAGCTTCTTTATATATTTTCCCAGATCAATATATTTTATATATTTAAAAAATCAAAACAATTATATATTTAAATTATATATATTTCATTCTTACTGTAATTATGTGCTTTCAAAACAAGTTATTGTTTTGAAACAAAACTGGAAAAATTTCTAAATCAAGTTTGGAGTTTGATTTAAAATAAATTATTCATGCAGATAATTCATAACTTAGTTACTTTATGGTGCTTTCATATTCCTCCAGCCCTTTTATTTAGTTAGTTTTGTGGAATCATGTTGGTCAGCAGACTTTTTATGAACTTCAAAGCCATAGCCATATTTATTGCACTGCAAAAATCATGAAATTTTCATTGACTTCCATCTCGTCTAGTGAACTGAATAAATTATTTTGCCATTGTTAATTATGACAAACTATATTCAACAACTATTTTAAAACATGAGTCTCTTTCAGTGTGAACAAAGTATGATAGGAATGTTTGGGTTTGTTACTAAACTCTATATCAGTTCATTAGTGTTTGTAGTGATACTGTTTGTACTGAATGTGTATGTAAGCAAGTTTTCTCACAAAGGCTTTAGTTTAAAACTAGTGTCATATAAAATTCATTAGTTAGAATTTTATAATAGCACAACATGAAGGTTGAAATTTGTTTTTGGCATGTATTATTATCAATGTAAATAGTATAAACTTTGAATACATTACTTCCACATTACTGTATCGAAATTATGTGTACAAAACCGAAGTACACATACCTATACATATGTCTTCAAGTCTTCAACTGGGATTCATAATGGGATTAAAGATTATAAAATAGTTTTCTCCACTCATGTTTCATTGAAAGTTTTTCAAAATGTTTTTTTTTTTTTATTTGTGCATTCAATAAATGTAACCAATTATATTAATGTTTTCACATTATTGGTTTATTTTCAAAGGAAGATAAACAGAATCAGTTTTTCTTTATGGTTAAGAAACTATGAAAATTTCTTTCAAAAAATTATTTATAAATTGGCTAGTGCAAACTATGCTAAAATATGTACTGTACATTAGAACAGTATACACATACATTTTTTATCACTCTGGTCTTATAGTATTGGACACTGTTATAATGTAATTAATTTATGTTAACTATATATTTCTTTCTTTCTTTAGCTTATCACTGAATGGTCAACAGCTAATGTTGTGGAATGGATGGCTGCTTTAAACTTTTACCAATATGCTGAGCTTTTTAGGCTTAAAAACATGAAAGGGTCGGATTTGTTCTTATTGGATAAAGAGAAGTTATGTGTAAGTAGCTAAGAAATTGCTTATTATATATGTATATACTGTTATTAGTTAATTTATAGTTGGCCTTTCACATTTTATTGAATATTTGCCTTTGCAAAAAAAATATTCTTTATAGAAATAATAAGATATTTTTGTATTTCTTTCCTTCACTGCCCATGAAGGCTCAACAGTAAGCTTGAGGATATATAACTTTAGAAAAGTGAGCCTTATTTTCTAGGAGTATTTTTTGTATGTTAAGAACTTTAAGAGTTTTGGAATAGTCGTGTGTGGGAGGTTTAAGTTAGTGGTTAGAATTTTTAAGTAATAAATATTCACATAGCACATTTACAATACTGACACATAGAAAAAATATTTATTACTGAGTCATTGTTTTGATAAATATTAACCATTCACTTCAGCTGTAGACGGGTTGGACTTTTTGCTTCTGTACGCTATGACTATTATTATTTTTTATCTTTATCGGGATCTCGGAGGGTCAAGTATTATGTAGATCTCTTCCTTCTTCTGGCACTGATGATGATATGATCTGACTGTTCCATATATAGGATTTCATTTTTTAAATTTATGTGTGAACTGCAAAGCGATATTTATTAGTATTTAGCACTTTCCATATACCCATTCATTGTTACCTAACAATGGGTCAATCATGTTTTGTTCTTTTTCGTCAGTACTGCTCAAGATCCCATAAATGGCGCAACCACAGTATACAGAAGAAAAAAGCCCAACCCACATACATGACAGCTGCAGTGAAAGGGTTAATAGCTCCTCCTATTAGTCATTTAATTAAACCAAATTCTCAATAGGTATTGAAAAAGTTAAGAACATAAAACAGTTTGTTTAGAAAAAGAAAGTGTATGAAGTAAATATTGTAAAAACAATTAGCTATTTGGATAGTTTAGAAAATAAACCATTTTTATTTGATAAAAAAATTCGAGTTGCAGCTTATGTTTATTTATGCTTACATTTTAATTCATTCACCTGGAAATTATTTCAAGTTGAATGGAAAAATTATATATATATTTTTAATTTGAAAACTATGCATTAATTTTTATATTTACATCATGGAAATGAATTTATAGATTACATTTTAGATTAGTTAATGAAAAAGAGTATTTTTGGTTTAGACCATCTTGTAAACATTATTTTGGCATCAACCATTTTTCTACACTTTTAGGTATTTTTGATTAATATTTTAATTTTTCATTAATTTAGTGCCTGTTTGGCTCTTCAGATATCAGTATTTGAATAAAACTTGAACTGAAAGAATGATGATGCTGAATTTGCATTGTAACTCAAATTTTAGTTGTTTTCAATTTTATGTGCTCTGATCTCAGTATTCATTCACAGAGCATGGGCATTAAGGATGAATTCCATCAAAATGCCATCCTTGTGTGTGTTGATGAACTTTGTAGGGCTAAGGAGGATCTGGTGAGTATTATATATATATATATATATATATATATATATA